ACTTGTTATGTAATTGGTGTTCTTTGAGATGGGTTGCTCATGTCCATTCAAGTTCCCATCCTTTCTCCACTGCTGGAGTTCCAGAGTTCTTTCGGCAAAAGGGAACTAAGGAAGGAGGGCCTGGGAGCACCGTATATAGTGCAGCACATGTGCACCTTTCCAGGGGATGCTGGGACCCAGGCCCCTATAGATACTGCTGGGAGAAAATCTTCCAGCACAGGTGCTCGTGGCAAGTACACACATGTATGCTGAATGGACATGAGCAACACATCTCAAAGAACATCTGTTACAAAGCAGGTAACTGTCTTTTATGTATCCTTGGGCCAGAGTCCTCCTGTCTTAAGTGCTCACTGAATTATAATACCCGAATCACTGCTTGTTTTTGTATCTTTTAAACTCTGCCCCATGGACAAGTAAGTAGCACAGAACAAATGAGGGAATTCAAATTGCCTTCTCAGCATCTCCACTTGGTCTCTAGTTGCTTCGGAGAGTTTGAGCTCTGGTCTTGGTCATGAATGTCCCATAACGAGAGGAACTGGTGCTACTAATTTTTTTCCTTTAAATATAGAGAGGAGGTGGGTCACACAATACATCACTGAAGCAAAAAACAGGACTATGTAGCACTTTAAAGACTAACAAGATGGTTTATTAGGTGATGAGCTTTCGTGGGCCAGACCCACTTCCTCAGATCAAATAGTGGAAGATCTGAGGAAGTGAGTCTGGCCCGCGAAAGCTCATCACCTAATAAACCATCTTGTTAGTCTCTAAAGTGCTACATAGTCCTGTTTTTTGTTTCAGCTACACCAGACTAACACGGCTACATTTCTATCACTATTCTACAATACATCTCTGTGTGTTAGTAGCTGTAACAGCCAGGTTCTTTACCAACCCTCTCTGAAAGTCCAGTTTGCCACATAGCCATCAGAGAAACCCTCTGCTGTCACAGAGAGCTGCATTTTCACCCTGACATCAAAGTTTTAAAGTTGGTTATAGAAGGGGGATGAGGCATGTCATTGATCTGAGTTGGCACCCCTATCTCCCTCTCTCCTTGTATGTAAGGGATATTCCATTCAGGAGTAATTCCATTCAGGGTAATTGGCTTTTCTCCTTCTCCCTCTGTCTTCCCTCCCCCATACCAAAATAAATAGCAAGATGAAAGAAATAATTGGATATGCAAGGTGTGAGTTTCTCCACTGAGGTGGCAAGGGGAACATTAAAGGCCCAGTCTCTTCATTTCATTCACAGCTGCTTGTATGGTAATTGCTGTGTTATAGTTTCTAATTATCAACACAGTGGGGTGGTTTTTCTCCCTATCCCCAGTGGGGTCACCTGTGCTTCTCTTGGGAGCCATGGTGTATACCCATCTTCCACTCCATGGTATTTTGCTGAAGAAGGCCATGTGGTGGTTTCTTCTGAGCATAGCAGTAGCTACTCCATGGATACCACTGACAAGTAGCTCAAATCTGGTGTTGCTTTCTGCTCTCTCCCTAAGCCCAAGGGACTCAGACTTACTCAGCTCCCATGATGGTGTAACTTGCTCTCATGGAGCCCTACAGGTGTGGTAAGTCTGCCCTGCTGCCTAGGTCATGGTTATGCCCACCTCATGCTGTTGCTGATGTCCTGCACTTTGGGTGAGTCTGAACAGAAATGTTTTTCCAGACCATCTGCCAAAACAAAAAGACTCAGGGACCAATACTAATGATTTTATTGATCTCAGCACCATACTACAGAGAGCTCCAGATGGAGTTCCTTCCCAGACTGCTCACCCTGTCAGTGACAGAATAAAGCAATTCAGCATGTTTCACTCCTGGACCCACTTACCTGGCTTCTTGTGGGTAAGACGCTGGACTGGGAGGCAGGAAAACAGGGCTCTTTTCTCATCTCTGCCACTGCCTGTGTGTGACCTGGGTCAAGTTTTCTGCTCCAGATTTTCAGCTCTCTGCTCCAGATTTTCAAAGATATTTAAGTGTTGCTTTGCTCATCGTTGCTCACCTTTCTTAGTTGTTTCAATCTCTGAAAATCAGTGGTACCATGGAAAGACATTTCCAAATCTGGGCATTTGTCCTCAGTTTCCCTTTTGTTAAAATGAAGGTGATGCTCACTTGTCACACGTGAGAGTTGTGGGACTTCACATCATGGTTATACATAAGCGTGAGACTTATTCCTGTGGGAAGGTATATTATCATTTAAGATCAAGATATCATGAATATTCTTCATTTCCCCTTTTAAGGCTCTTCATATGCTCCATACCAGGCAGTGTCACCAAAGAACCAACGTTCCCGGAAGGCATGTCACAGTGCTGTTTAGTGGTTAGAGCACTGGGCTTGATGTCGGTTTTCATGTGACCACTGACCTGCTGGGGTTGCATGGGCAAATTACTTCCTCTCTGTCTTTGCTTCTTTTTTCCCCTCTCACCCTTTGTCTTATCCCTTTAGATTTTAAACCCTTTGGGGCGGGGACTATCTCTTACAGTGTGTGCATAGAATAACAAGCCCCAATCTTGTTTAGCTCACCCAGGTACTCTCTAATACAAATAATAATAGAGAAGTAGATGGAGTTCTGGTAGTCTCAATTCCCTCCCCTCAGCTGCCTTGTGAGAGATTGTTTTCAGAAGTGAAACAAGGTAATGTTTCTTGCCGCTTTTAGACTTGAGCACTCCTGCTCTCTAAGGCTGTTGTGTCTCTTCTGTTTTATTCTGTTTGTTTGTTTCCTTAGCGCCATCTCAAAGGGGGTGGGAGAAAGCTACAAGGAGCAGGCGTGCAGATTCATTTTGAGGATTCATAATGCTACATTTACACACCACACTGCCTGAGGAAATTGGATAGATGAATGCCTGGTCATGCTGCCAGTGCAGCAGGTTAACTCTCTGGATTTAGCTTATATCATTTCACGAGAGCATTTACGGCCTTTACTGTGTTTAGTCCCAATCGCTCTTTGGAATTCTAGCTTCTCCAATCTCTTTGTGTATGTGTAGATTTTCAAATAAAATAACACATCTATCCAGACCCTGTTCACATTAAATATTTATGGTCTGCAATTTGTGCATATATGTATGATAACTGGACGTTAAAAAGAAAAGAAAAAAAAGAAAGGGAACTAAGAGGCAGTGAAGGTGGCCTCTTGCCATGGAATTTCTAAAATGGCAGCATGTGTGTCTTTCTCTCCGCGAGTGTGCGGAAAGGTAAAGCATTAAAAATCAGTTGTGGGCTCTCACAAGTGAAGCTGCCCTGCCCCAGCCCAGTGAGTGTTCTGTGGTAAGAGAATTGCTTGAAAAGAGAAGCCTATCGGACAAGATTAGGAGAAAACTAGTCAACTGCATGATGCAAATGCTTTCCGATGCTACTCAGAGGATATTCATGTCCACAAGGAGCGAGCAGTAGAAGCTGTGGGAGGTAGAAGGGAGTTTCCCAAAAAAACCATGCTAGCACTGTGGGTATGCCTAGCATAATGTTTTATCCCCATCAGCTCCTGTCCTTTCCTGGTTCACATCAGCAGCTGATTTTAAATACCACCTGAAAGGAATTGAGAGTTCACCACAGATTGTGGCTATGAGTGCTGGTGCCTGATGTTAAATTGATAACAAGGAGGAGATGAACTTGTATGTTCAGCACTGTGTACAGTGGTACTACCCAAATTCTCACTTTCCTTCCAGGAGAGAAGAAACAGGCCAAATACTGAAGAGATGTCTTCTGCTCTGTTGGGAATTATCCAAATGGAGCACTATTAGCAGCCAAGTTCTGTCACTAAATGTGACCTAGAGGAAAATGGGTTAATTATGGTAGAGCATTTGCTTAGCGATCATTATGTAATTGCAACATCTGCAAGACATACATGAAAGGGGACATCCCTGTGATACCCCTGCTTTGGCTCATAAATGAGGTCGGTTTTTACCACAGTATTTTCCCCCGTCTCTTCTTCATAGCACCTTTGGAGAGCTGAAGACCGTCCGCCTGCCAAAGAAAATGGCTGGGACAGGGTCACACCGTGGCTTTGGATTTGTGGATTTCATCACCAAACAGGATGCCAAGGTGAGCACTGTGGCACAGTTCTCTCTCACTTTCTCTTCTTTTTCCAGCTCTTAAATGGTGAAAAGGCAAAAGACAGACAATAGTTTTGTTTAGAGTATGATTCAGTCCATGTTTCAGCAATCAGTAGTTTACTTTGTTGGGGTTTTCGTTGTCTGCACTTGTGCTTTGCAGTGGTTCATTTTCCTTGTGCTTAGTTGAATAAATCAATGGGAGCTCTTGCAGAAGAAAGATGATAAACGTGCAGGAATTCTCAGACTGTGGGTTGGGACCCTCTTTTAATGGAGTTGCCAGGACTGGCTTAGACTTGGTGGTGGTGGGGGCCAAAGCTGAAGCCTGAGGGCTTAATCCCTGGGTGGTAGGGCTCAGATTGCATGCCCCCCACCTAGGGCTCCCCATCCGCCAGGGCAACCAGGCTCCATTGGGCTCAATCTTCTGCTGGGGTCATGTGGTAAAAGTTGTTGTCAGAAGGGGGACACAGTGCAATGAAGTTTGAGAACCCCACTGCTACAGTAATGAGACTTTTTGAAAAACACTTTCTAGAGCACCTTTCTGAGTAGACCATCCGAAGAGCTGAGCAGTGTCTTTAGATAAGAAATGCATTTTAAATACAGACCTGTTAGCTGATTAAAAAGCTCTTTCCAAACAGCCAATCTCATGTTGTTTTAAAGGAGGACTTATCCTTAGTGGATTTTACCTGAGCCCAGAGTCTGTTCCTAAAGAAGAACAATATGTAAAAAAGTGATTGGTGTTGAACCTGGCAGAATAGTGCAGAGCACTATAAGAGCTAGTAGCAGCCTGGAGCAGCTGGGAAACTGACCAGTGGAGCTAATAGACAACAGAAAAATCACACATACTCCAACAGGGAGATGGTTTTTAGAGACCACCATAACGTAACTTAGGTCCATATCTGCTGATCCAGCCCAGCTGGCAGTGGCGTTCAGATCTCCAACACTGCCCCAGCAGATCCCACCATGCTGCCACCACTACTCACCTTTTGTTGGACGGGTGCTGCTCTGCAAATGAGGAGGGCGAATCTAAAATGTATTGTGCACAGCTGCACAGGCACGCGGTTCAAAGGGAACTGAAGATCAACCTATGGAGACTCCATAATCGACTGGTAGATCGCGATCTGCATGTTGGTGACCATGGGTCTAACACAATCCAGTGGCTGGAAGTTGAAGCTAGACAAATTTGAGTTGTACTAACAGTGTGAGTAATTAATCATCGAAACATCTAATCCCGGGTTGTGGTGGATTCTCCATCACTGACCACGTTTAAATCAGGATTGGATGTTTTTCTGGAAGATATGCTCTGTTAATTGTTTTTGGAAAGGGTGTACAGGACTCAGACTGGATGATTCCAGCCTTGACATCCTTGAATCTATGAACAGATGTTCTGACTGGTCAGATAAACAGTTGTGACAGTTCTGCTGTCGGGTAAAAGCCCACCAAGTTGTATTGTGTGGCTTAGTGTTAGATAGCATCGCAGAAAGAATGAGCACCGGTTTAAAAGTCGGGGTGATGCCTTGGTTGAGTATGGGTTTTGTCACAGGTTGACTCTGACTGAACAAGGTATTCTCATCTTTGATCCTCTGTTTCCCATTTATAAAGTAGAGATAAAGACAGTTCCTTTGTCCCATCTGTTACCTGTCTTGTCTCTGTCATTTGAGTGCTTTTAGGGCAGGATCTCTTGCTGTGTGTATGTATAGCAGAGCCCCAATCTCAGTGCTATTCTTACACAAGTAAGAATAATCCAGGAGCCAGCACTCAGTATGTGGCAGAGGCTGCAGCCTAGCTTCCTACCAAAGCAGGTCTGATCGGTGCTGGAGTGTACTGAGTGCGGATGTAAAATCCTGTTTAATTAGTTAGCCGATAAAATGGGGCAGAGGGGTTGGGTAGAGTCAGACCATCTCCTCCTTTCCCCCCAACCTGACCGCAGTCTGGGGCTAGTTCTGCCTGCTGCGTGCTGGGGGTGGGCCTACAGCAGTTGGGGGCTATCCCTGCCTGCAGTGGGTCCCATGGGGCTGGAGCAGCCCCCAGCCTCTACCAGTTAACTGTAACAGATAAACCTTAACCATTAAGGAATATTAACCATTAAGATTCCTAGTACTGAGCTTGTACCACCTCTGTAAATCCAGCTCCCTGACTGTTTCATGTGTGTGACTTGTCTTGAATGAGTTGCTGTATCCCATATCTGGAGGCACAGGGGATGGGGCTTATGGCAGAGAAAAGGAGCAAGCCCCAAAAGGAAGGTTTTGCCTTTTCATGCTCTGCTGCTTCCCTTTCTGCCACATACTCTTGTAAGGAGCATAGGTGTATCAGAGAGCCGCCTTAGGCTGTTGGCTTGTCTCCACTGCCCAGGTAAGAGTAAATGCTGATCCCAGAGACTGTTCAGACCCTTTCCCCGTGTCATCATTTATTGGTTGCACTGACAATCGTTAGCAAATCCTAATATGAAAGCAGTTCAATGTAAACCCCACTCCTTGTCCCTGGATGTTCATCCCCAGTACCCCCATACACTGTCTCCTTGGGAGTTCCTCTTTTCCAGGACTTGCCACCAGAACCGCCTGTCTTCCTCATATCACGTACTCCCAGACCCAAATACCTGCTTTTAAAGGGGCCTCAAAACAGGGCTGGCTGTCCCCGACTCCCTGCCCCTGAATAGACTGCCCTGGGCAACATCTCTCAGAACTGAAGTCCTGTGTGTGACTTCATTGGTCCCTAGGCACCAACATGGCAGTCAGTCTCGAGAGCAACCTGCTTAGAATTCAAGCACACAGTAAGTGTGCCACCCATCAAGAGTGTGCTTTGTGCTCTTCTGACTTTTAAGAGTAGTTTTTTTGTTTGTTTGTTTGTTTCGAGGCATTTGTTGTAAGTGCACATCAAGTTGACTCTCATGCTTTTCTAGATTGCCAATGATCACATATTGATGAGTAGGATTCTGAATATTATAAACACTTGCATAACTGGCTCCCAATTCAGAATTATGTGAACTCGAGAGGGGGGAGGTGGTCTGAGGCACCGTTGAGCTGAACTGTTGTGGACTGTAAGAGAAGAGCCTATTGTAACAGGTAACTTGGAAACATTTTGTAAAATGTGTGTGTGATAAAAGTGTAGGATTTACTGTGCTTTCAGATCCTGTTAACTGCCTTGTCCGCCTGTTTCACAAGGCAATTACAGTGACTGAGTGAGTGAACCGAAATTTTCATAACAGCTTGAGAGGTGGGCACCCGACTCAGACTCCATTGTGTTTCTAATGGCTCTTTTAGAATCAGTTTCTGATCCCCTTGCTGTTCTTGAGTAGGAGATTATTTTACAAGTAGCCTGTGATAGCCAATTCTTGTACTGTGCTATTCTAATTCGAGTTACAAGTATCTGAAGGTGAATCTCCCATCTGCATTTTAAATTGTAAAGTCAGGGACACTCTTCGTTTTATCAGAGGGGTAGCCGAGTTAGTCTGAATCTGCAAAAGTGGCGAGGAGTCCTGTGGCACCTTGTAGACTAACAGAAGTGTTGGAGCATAAGCTTTTGTGGGCAAAGACTCACTCCGTCAGATGCAAGTAGTGGAAATTTCCAGAGGCAGGTTTAAATATGCAGGCCAAAATCAGGCTAGAGATGACGAGGTGGATCCAATCAAGGAGGATGAGGCCCACTTCTCTTTGTTTGTGTGGCTCTTAATCCTGTGAGCCTCAAATGCTCCTGTAGTAAGATGAACAATCCACTACTGAAATGCAGCCACCTCTGGTGTATGACACAATTGCAAAACACAGCAGCCCTAGGCACGCGAGAACAAGAACTGAAGAGTATCCCCTCTAATAACTGTAAGTGAGGGAAATGATAGAAGGAATTTAGCCAGAGAAGCCATTTTTAACTTCCTAACTCTTCAAAAAATCACAATCCGATTTTTAAAAACCAAAGGCCAGGTCCTTGATTTGCAGCTCTTCTGAAAGATGTCTATTAAATGTAAAGGTATCTGGGTGTGTGGCATGGAGGTATTTGTTTTGCACAGATCATTGCTGCTAAGCACATTGTTTCAGAATAAAGCTGTGCTAACTTATTTTTTATGTTTCCTAGAGTACTCACTGCAGAGTTAGGTTGCTTTTAGCTAATACAGCAAGCACAATTTTCACTTTTCTTTTCCCTTGCTGATATAAAAATGCATCTGGTTGCCTAATAGAAATTGCCCATTCAGGAAAGACATTCAGCCCTTTAAAACAAACTTGAGCTCAGCTGGCAATGTAGAGAATGTCCTAAACTGGGATTATTCCTTTTTAGGGAGGAAGGGATACTTGTCAGCAGTTTATCATCAATCCTTTGTCCCTCTAATGACTCTGGACCCTAAGGCTCTTATGCCTGAGTATTTAATAAGGCATTGGGGAAAGCAGCAGTGCTCCCAAAATTTAGAAACACCATTTAAAGATGATATGCAATGGCACCCAAGGGAGATAAACTCAGCAGTCCAGTCTCTTGATCTATGACTTTCCAAATCTATCAGACACCATTACAAGCAGACTATCTCTTCCATCTGTATAGCCCAATCCTCAAACAGCTTGAGTAACTGCCCCTTCCCTTTGGAATCCATTGCAGAATTGCTCTTCTAGCTGTCAAAACACCTTCTATTAGCTTGTCCCACTCCACTTCTAGGCTCTTTCTTCACCTTTCCCTGTTCCTTTTGGCTTATCCAGCACCTGCCTCCTCCCTAACCCTAACCCAGGAGCTGGTTAATGTTGGTGTAAATGCTCCCACCAGTACCACAATTCAGTTGTTTGTCAGAAAACACATATTGACCATGTGTATGATGCTTCCTGGCTGTGTTCTGGATTTAGCTGGCTAGGAGTTTTTTAGACTTTTAAAAAGTGTTTTGTATGCTGTTGGTTCACATCTGCATGAGCTCTAGACGTCTTTTAATGAGCACCCTGTTAGTGGGTTACAAATCAGCAACATTTAATTTATTACTGAACTTTGCAAAGCATTTTGGGGTGCAGTTTGCTTAAATTTGCA